AATAATAAAGGGTTACATTATTATTTTTAATTCTAAGCAGAAAATTTATTATTTTTATTTTATTAATCTTATTATATGTTTTTTATATAAACTTCTATTTCTAAGTATTCCCTAAAAACAATCTAACCGCTAACTTAAGCCTTAACCATTATTTGTTTCTCTTGTTTGTTCGTGACTAATCGTGTGTTTGTTGTTTTTCTGTTTCTCCCACCCATCCGCGCACACAGATCTTGACCAAACTCACTTGAGTAGCAAAAACAAAATGGAGAACGGCATACAGGTGGTGCCGCAAACACCGTTACTCGTCAGCGATTACCTAACACTCAGCGCACCACCCACATATTCCCGCCTGCCACCCGACGGCCATGAGTTTCCGCCCAATTTCAGCGAACCGCTCATAATGCCCCCGCCAAGCACAAACCTGTTGAAGGCTGCCAGCCTAATGCAATCCACCACCACCACAATGACAATGTCCAGCACAAAGGGCAGCGCCAACAATAACAACAACACAAACACCATTTACACAGAGAAACTATATACAGCAGCCAGCGCTAACGGTGGACAAACAATGGTCGCCAGCACACGCACAACACACACACACATCAGCAACAACGTTGCGAATGCTGCCCCAGGCGCTGGTGCAACAGTGGCAGCGGCGACGGCTACATTAACAACACAATCGGCGTCACCGAATGGCACATTGAAGATAAATAGCACAAAAGTGGAAATGCCCACGCTGGAGTTCACCGTCAGCAGCAGCGGCAGTAAAGTGGCCGCCAGCACAGACACAGGCAGCGCACCGCCACCGCTACCGAAATCGGGACCACCACCCACGGTGCCGCGCAAGGTGTATCGACAGGATTTGGTGGTGAATGTGGAGGACACGCGTCAGCCGACAGATAAGCGCAGCGATGTCCTCGCCGAAGCCACCACACCGTCGGGCGCCGGCAACGCTAAATTATTATTCGAGTCAAGACACAGCCGTTCCACGCAGAATCTTTCGTCGAGCGGTGGTAGCACGCCAACAGCCAACAAATTGGAGCCGCCCACATTTGAGCTAGGCGGCAGTGGAAACGACTATAAGCGTTCGTTGAGCGCGCCACGTCGACACGGCGATTGGCGTAAGGACGAGAAGTCGGAGAAGAGCGTACGCGACAAGATCGCTATGTTTTCCAATGATGCGGAAGGAAGTGGCGCTGACACGCCAGTAAAACCCTTGAGCTTTTCAGGCACAAAAAGCGCTACGAAGCCGCTCAACTTAAGCACGGAGAATTTGCTCGATACAGCGACTAGCGCGCGCTATGCCAACACATCCACTAATCTGACGAAAACGCGTGCGATGAGCGTAGAGAATCTGAATGATGTAGCGCGTCAGGTACAGTTAGCCAAACAATTGCCCACACAAACCTTTTCGGACTCAATGTATGCGCTAAATACATTGGCCACCGACTATACGCAGAGTTATGCGTCATTGCCGCGTCGCCATATGCAACATTTGGAGCGACGCATCAGCTTTTCGGGTCAGCCAACCTACATGCCGGACGAGGCATCACGCAAGGCTGCCATAACAAATATATTGGAACAACGGCGCCGTAGCATGTCCAAGCTGCGCGGTCTGGTTATACCAGAGCGCCCACATGTGCCGTTGGAGCCCATACTAGATCTGCCTGAGATCAAAAGTCGTGATAGTGAGAAGTTGAAATCCGGCAACACGTCGTCCACAGATTCCACGGATAGCGGTGTTGGTTCGAGCAGCGGTTACTTCTCGACAGTGCCACGTCCCGCCAAACGCACAGAGCTAATACAAAACTCACCGCTTCGTCCACTCACGGTGGCCACCACTAGCAATACCGCCAACATTGCCGCAAATAATGGTTATCGTAGCATTTTCGGCACACAAACCGCTTCGCCACGTCACGCCACAACAGTGCAATCGCCTTTAGCTATGTCACATCAGCCACGACGCTTCGAACCAGCGTTACAGGGCACACCGCCAGCCAAGCCACCGCGCACCTCGCTCAGCGTGCCACCACGTCAGCATGCCATGCATGAAGAAAGCGACTCCGATTCGGTTTTCTCTTCAAAGGTTTCCTCACCACCCATGTCGCCGTGCGTGCCACAGTTGCCAGAGAAGTTTGCGCTCACACGCACACTCTCCTCGGAGACTAACACTTCTATAGCCAGCTCAACTACTTCTACGCTCACATCCGGCTCGGGTTCGCAGGCGAGCTGTTCCTCAGTGGGTAGCACACCGACAGTTGATCTGTCGCGTCGTGTACTGAAGTCGGGCTCCAGTGATTCGGCAACGAATCGTAAGAATATACTTGCATCGGCGAAGTGTCGCAATGGACGCGGTGACGCCTCAGCGCTACTACGTAATCGTCCCTACGATGATGAGGACAGCACCGATGGTTATGATGAGGACGAAGTCCGGCGTGTGCACAAATCGAAACCGCGTTCCACATCGGGTGCTTCACTGGTGATAATGCCCAATAAGTTGGTGTCAGCGTCAGCACCCATCAACTATAAATTGGTTTCGAAAAATGACCAAAGTCTCGTCGATAAGGTCATCAACGTAGCCGCCTATGTTGAGGTCACTTCAGATACAGATGACAGTAGCCGCAAATCGGATAGTACCTCGCCATTGAAACTCAGTGCCATGTTAATCGATGAAGAACGCAAAGCCAGCTTCAAGGCCGATCCCAGTCAAAAGGCCAGCACACCGCCGAAAGTGGCATGCAAACCCAAACCGGCTGCTATACTGCCAGCAGTGACCGCGGTACCCGTACAACCTGTCACACCACGCAAAGCAACTGAAGTTGTGACGCCACCGAAAAAGTCACAGCCCGATGCTAGCAATGAGCTAACACAATGGATGCAAGTTGAGGTTGCTAAAAAGGCTACGCAACAGTTCGCCGGTAGGAATATAACCGAACGTAAGCCACTCAAGCCAGTGCTTGAGAAATATGAGTCCTCGGTGACAAGCACTAAAACTTACAACAGCAAAACAACCACAACAGCGAAGGTAACCACGGCCGAGATACGTGAAAAGTTCGAACGTACAGCGGCCGCAGAGCGTGCAGCCGCCGCAGCTGCAAATGCCACATCGAACGTCTCGCCAGCTGCCTCGACAAATAGTCTGCTTGCTACTAAAGTCTTGAGCGGCAAAGCTGGTGCTAACTACCACGAACGTTTCCCCTCGCTTGATTCCGTAGCCTCATCATCGTCTGGCGTGAGCTCGAGCACACAGAATGTGTCCACACAAGAGAATACCAACGAATTTGGCAGCTTTTCGTCGCTTGGCAGCAATCAGAGCTTGATTACTGCACAAGATATACAACAGATCATTGAGGAGGCGGAACCGCCACTCAAAACACCGGAAGCTTTCATAGTGGTGCTACAACGTGATACGCCCGAGAGTAGTATTGGCATCACGCTAGCCGGTGGCTCCGACTACGAAGCCAAGGAGATAACGGTAAGTACTCCAAACGCTTAATTTAAAATTGAAGGAAAAAACTATAACGAATCGTTACTTTACAGATACATAAAATTTTAAACAACACACCAGCCGCCAAGGATGGACGTCTGAAGAAGGGCGATCGCATATTGGCTGTCAATGGCATGAGCATGCGTGGCCTAACGCATCGCGAGTCCATCACTGTGCTGAAGGTAAGTGCCTGCCGTTTCCACACCATCATAAATATACTATTTTAACATCTAACTTAACAGACGCCACGTCCCGAAGTGGTGCTCGTCGTCACACGTTCCGAGTCGGTCATTGTCAAACCGCTCACCAAGAAACGCTCCTCACTCGGCTCGCTCACTTCGTTGAATGAGAAACCCACCGAAGTGGATTACGAGAAGAAGCGTAACTATCATAAGGCCTCGCGTTCGCTCGACTTGGATTTGGATATTGTCTCGGCAAGTGAAGATGCTGGCGCATCGAAGACACCCAGCACAGTATCGAGCGCAAGTCCTACGCCGACCACGACTGACACCACTGCCGCCACGTTGGCTAGCATACGCACGCGGCGCCAGCAATCGCGTGCCGATGCGAGTAAATTGAGCACCAGTGAGCTGCTGGAGCGTGCCGCCGAGACGCGTAACGCCATTGCTGCGGAAATTCGTGCGCAAGGTAAGTAGAATCATTTGTTTGTCTTTGTTGGCTGTAGCTTTTACAATTACAATATTCTATTATTTTTCCTCTCACAGAAGATGCCGCCACCGGCTCACGCTCCGTCGAAATCATTAAGGACAGCTGCGGACTGGGTTTCTCCATTGAGGGTGGCTTCGATTCGCCGTTAGGCAATAAACCATTAATTGTGAAGAAAGTCTTTATGGGTAAGTGCAAAAAATATTAAATATATATTATACACAGCTTTATACATACATACGAGTATGTAAATATAGAGAACAGTAAGAGTACTTTAAGGGTGGAGCCTGCTTTAAAAGCTTCAAAAAATCGAGTTTGTTTTTGCTTAAATCTCGTTAAAAACTATCATAAAATATGTCCTCAAAGTTATAGATTGGAATTCAGAAAGGAAATAGCGACCGAGCATCCAGCAGATATACAATTGAGCGATTGGGCAGAAAGCGAAAACTTTTTTTCATATTTAAGGCAAAGTTTATTATCTTTGTCATTAAATTATCTTCTATTTAAACAAAAAAAAAATAATAAAAAAAATCAGAAAAGTCAAGTTTGAACATATTTTTAAACAACATAAAGTAAAATTTTTTCGTTAAAAAATCACTTTTTTTAATTGTTAAAAATTTGTAGAATTTTAAACTTTTTTTGGAATTTTTTTTTTTTAATTTTTTTAGTTTAACTAGAAGATAAGTTACTAAAAAATATGAATCTCTTTGAACGTTTTGTTTCCGATAGCAATTGCGATTTGTGTCCTGCCCGCCGTCCGACAAGAGATGCATCGAGCCATTGCTTCCCAAAGGGAAAATATCAAAGATTGCGTATCCAAAAAATTTTCGGACCATATTTAAATACATAACTATAACCCCTAGAAATCGCGCTCTGTGCTAAAGTTGTTTTGTGCGCTCATACTACAATAAATGCAAATTCTAGGCCTATTTTTCGTAGCATGCTTTTAGGCGAATTATTATATGTTTTATTCATTACAGGTTTATTTTCACATTTTTTCCATTTTTTCTTTATTTGCTTATCATTAATTATTTTTATAATATTTTTTTTTTTAATTTTTTTTTAGGTTCATGTAGTAGTATTATATTTTTTTGTTTTTCTTATTTAAATTTTTGGGTTTAAGTTTTATTTTTTTATTGCATTGCTTACAATTTGTGTATAATTTATGTAATGTTCTTAATGTATCTCATATATTCAA